TACAACCGTGACCATAGCTGTACAAATATCTCTTCAAATCCTAGCTTTCAGTTCTTTTGGGGTATATGCCCAGAATAGATCAGATGGTATAATCATTTTACCATGATGCTAGATTAGTTCTGTTAGTATTTTGTGAAAGATCCTTGTATATTGGTCTATAGTTTTGTTGTGATGTTCTTCTCTGGCTTTGATATTAGGGTAGTACTGGTTATATAGAATATGCTAAGAAGTGTTTCTTTTTTTTTTATTAGGAAGACTTTGAGATTGGTGATATTTTTTCTTCAAATTACAGTCAAAGCATCTGGTTCTGTTTTGTTTGTTTGCTGATAGCGTTATGATTACTGATTTAGCCCCTTTATCTGTTATAGATCTGTTCAGATTTTCTGTTTCTTTTTGAGCCATTTTTGATAGCATTTGTCTTCCTGGGAATTTCTATTTATTCTAACTCATGTGATTTGTTRTATAATTGTTCATAGTATTTTATAAAATTTTTAAATTTGATATACATCAAAATTAAAAATTTACAAAACATCAAATTTTGATATACATCAAAATTTAAAAATTTTTTAAATTAGATATACATGAGAATAGAGTGTATTTTGACACATACATGGATTATAACTTATTCTAATTAGGATCCTATTCGTTGGTTGTACATAATGTGGAGTTTCACTGCTTGTGTATTCACATATGAACATAGGAACGTTATGTCTGCTTCATTTGTTCATAGTATTCTTATGTACTCCTTTTTATTTCTGTCAGATTGGAAATAATGCTTTCAGTTCTGTCCCCGGTTTTAGAGATTTGAGTCTTCTTTCTTTTTCTCTGGTTTAGTCTATCTTAAGAGGATGTCTGGTTGTTGATCTTTTCAGGGAGCTAACTTCTGGTTCCATTGATTTTTCTGTATTGTTTTTGTATTCTCTTATTTTGTGGAACTCTGCTCTAATCTTTATATTTCCTTTTTTCTTCCCTTTGCATTTAATTTCTTTTCTTTCTGGTGTCTTAAGGTGGAAGGTAGATTACTGATATGAGCTCTTTCTTTTTTTTAAATATAAATGTTTGAAGCTGTGAATTTCCCTTGAGCACTTTTTCATTGGATCCTGTAAGTTTTGAACTGGTGTTTTCATTTTCATTCAATTCAAAGCATTTTAAAATTTACCTTGTGATTTGTTCTCTTATCTCTTGATTATCCAAGAACGTTTACTTTGCACATTTATGCTTTTCCCCACAAATTTCTTCTAATTATTTATTTCTAGTTTTATTCCACTGTGGTCAGAGAGGATAATTTGTATGATTTCAGTTTTTTGAAAGATATTGAGATTTGCCTCGTATCTGAACATATGATCTGCCCTGAAGGACATCCCACATGCAACTGAGGAGAATGGAGGCTTCTGCATGTGTCTGTTAAGTGTGGTAACAGTGTTATTTGTGTCTTTTATTGTTTATCTTTTGTTTAATTGTGTTATCCATTGTTAAAAGTGGACTGTTGATGTCTCCATGTATTTCTGCCTTTATTTTATTTTATTATTTTTGGTAGTGGKGATTGAACCGGGGACACTTTATCTTTGAGCTACATCCCCCAGTCCTTTTTTGTTTTTATTTTGAGACAGGAACTCTCTAAGTTGCTGAGTCTAGCCTTGAACTTGTGATCTTCCTGTCTTCAGTTTCCACATTGCTGGGTTTACAGGCATGTGACACCCCACCCCCTGGACTGTCTCAATCACTGACTGACTTTTTCTTTCTTTTTGTGCTGGAGATTAAACCCAGTGCATGCTTATACCACTGAGTTACCATTCAGCACTGATATGAGCTCTTTTCAGTCTTTTTTTGTTTGTTTGTTTCTGAAGTAAGTCTCTTGAGACAGCATATAGTAGATCATTTTTTAAAAAATCTATCCTGCCAATCTTACCCCCCTCCATTTCAGTACTGGAGGTTTAACCCAAAGGCACTTAACCATTGAGTTACCCTCATTTTTATTTACATCCCTTGCTCTCGCTAAATTGCATCCTCCTGCTGGCCTTGAACTTGCCATCCTCCTGCGTCAGTCTCCCAAGTAGCTGGGAATACAGTATTCACCTCTGTACTGGATTCAATCTCTGCCTTTTAATTGGAGTGTGTCGTCATTTTTATAGATAATGTATTTACAGATACAGAAGGGCTTCTGCAGTTTTGATGTTTGTTTTCTTATATCTTTTTTGTTCCTCATTTTTTCCATCACCAACTTCTCTTGAATTAGATATTTTTTCATGTAACATTTTAATTCCTTTTTCATTTCTTTTAGTATATGTTTTTTAGTTTTTTCTTGGTGGTTGCCTTGGGGATTACAGTTAACGTCTTAATTTATAACAATCTAGTTCAAATTGATACCAGCTTAGTTTTAATAGTATACAAACTTTCCTCTCTCTATATAGCTCCATTGTCCTACCCTTAAGTTATTGTTGTCACAAATTGCATCTTTATAATTGTGTGTTTATCACATTAGGTTTATGATGGTTGTTTCATGTATTCATCTGATTGATTTTTAAATGCTAAGTCAACGATTCTTAGGATAAATCAAATTAATAAAGACGTATATGTTAGTTTTTTTTTCTTTTCTTTCTTGGCACCCAGGGATTGAACTTAGGGGTGCTCAACCACTGAGCCACATCCCCAGCTCTGTTTTATATTTTATTCAGAGATAGGGTCTCATTGAGTTGTTTAACACCTTGTTTTTTGCTGAAGCTGGCTTTGAACTCATGATGCTCCTGCCTCAGCCTCCCAAGCCACTGGGATTACAGGTATATGCCACCACGCCCTGTGCTGTGATAATTTTTTTTTTATCCTGATGATATATTGTTGGTTCAGTTTGTTATTAACATTTTGCTAGGGATTTTGTGTTTCTGTTCATGAGAGATTCCTGCATGTGTATATGTATGTGTATGTGTGTGCAATGTCTTTGACAAATTTTGGTATTAGTAATTCTGATCTTATAAGTTTTAAATTGTTTCCTTCTCTGCTTCCTGAAGGGCTTTTGTGAAATTGATGTTCTTTCTTTATGTTTGATAGAATTATCAGTGAAACAATTTGAATTTGGACTTTGTGTGTGGGGGTCTGTATGTGTGAAGAGTTTTGATAATTCACTAAGAAATAGATACAGTACTAGTCAGATATTCTTTTTTCATAATATGTCAGTTTTCACAGTCTGTGTTTTCTTAAGGAGTTAGTTTGATCTAAGTTGTCCAGTTTATTAACAAGCATTTATTAGTAACATTCTTTTAATGTCTGAGCTAGACAATCTTTTTATTTTTATGAGATTTATAATCTTTTTTCTAGTTCCACATTTTTCATTGGTTCTTTTTAGTTATTCATAACATTAGGATTCATTTTGACGTAATTATAAAAGCACGGAATATAATATGCTCTAATTTAGCACCTAGTAACTCCTCTTTCCTTTCCCGTTCTCTTCCCTCTGCTGATTATTCTGCTGTTTACTTGTTTTTTTTTTTAAATTATTGTTTTGAGGATGTACATGATGGTGAGATTCACTAATGCATATTCATATGTGTACATAGAAAAGTTAGGTCGATTCATTCCACTGTTCTTCCTTTACTCTGTCTTTCCTCTCTCCCTGTTTCTATTCCACTGATGTTTCTTCTATTTTGACAGAATTTCACTTGTCCCCCGTCCCCCGGCCCTTTTCCTTTCTCTTTCTCTCTTTGAGCAACATAATCTTTAAAAAAAAAAAAAAGATGTTTATACTAGCAGTATAGCAAGCACTTATATAGTATTTTCATTTCAGAAATATTAATTCTTTTACTTACCACATTTGTTAGGGAGATACTACTAGAATTTCTGTATTACAAGGGGAAGAAACCAATATTAAACTGAGGAGAGCTTAGTTAAGATCACGAAACTGGTGTATTAAGGTCTCAAATTGGAAGCCTGATGGCCTGGGTCTACAGCCTTTTTCTCCTAACTAGTATTTATGCTGCCTTTCTTGGATGGCGAGATACCTGTCCTTCTCTTATGGAATTGTGCTATGTTGTTGTTGTTCCTCCTCCTCCTCCTCCTCCTCCTCCTCCTCCTCCTCCTCCTCTTCTTCTTCTTCTTTTAATTTTTTAGTTGTAGATAGACACAATACTTTTTTTTTTTAAATTTATTTTTAGGTGGTGCTGAGGATTGAACCCAGTGCCTTGTATGTGTTAGGCAAGTGCTCTACCACTGAGCTACAACTCCAGCCTCTGTTCTTTTTAGATATACATGACATTATAGTGTATTTTGACATATTATATATATATGGAGTATAACTTATTTTATTAGAGCCCATTCTTGTGGTTGAATGTGATGTGGAGTTCTACTGGTCGTGTGTTTGTTTTTAATTTTTTTGGTAGTTGTAGGTGGACAGCATGTCTTTATTTTATTTGTTTATTTATATGTGGTGCTGAAGATTGAACCCAGGGCCTCACATATGCTAGGCAAGTGCTCTGCCACTGAGCCCCAACCCCAGCCCCYTGGTTGTGTATTTGTATATGAACATAGGAAAGTTATGTCCAATTCATTCTACCGTTGTGTATGTTCTCTTTAGAAACCTTCCTTACTCTTTTGTACCTCTGAGTGGAAATATTTGTTTCTTACATTCCTGATTAAAACTTGGAATTCCTTTTCCTCAAATAAACATTATTTATACATGATGGCTAGGCATAGTTGAAATATTACTGTTAATACTCTTCTTCAGTCACATAATATGTTAAAAGAATTTCTGAAGCTTCTTGGAGAAGTTCACCACAATTTATATTGTGAAACATTGTTTCTGTCGGAAACTGGGAAAGAAATTTATTTTAAATTCACTTGCCTGAAAGGTTAGACTTCAGTTACATGGAAATTATATTTAATTTCTTGAAATCTCTAAAATTTTAAATAAACTCAGGTATTTAGTCATATTTTTTAAAAGGCAAGCATAATTAACTCATACAGATTTGATTTTGTTTCATTTTGATTACTTGTTGATTAATGTCTTTCAGGGTTATTCAAATGCTCAGAAGAATATTCTTAAGGTGGATCAGAACTGTGTTCGCAATTCTTACGATGTCTTCTCTTTGCTACGGTAAGAAAAAGTTCCCCCTAAATTCTTAAGAATCTTTCTCATTTTGAATTTGTGACATTTCCATGTGAAAGAATGTATGGGTGTGCTAGAAGCTGTTACTCAGGCTTAGCATTTTTTAGTGAAAACTTCATAAATTTTATAGCTACAGTAATTGAAGTTTACGTCTTGGGAAAGCCCTTATCCCACTTTGGACAGTGGGGAAAAGTGGTTGGAAGCCAGTGTTCTTAAAACAAGGACGTGAGCTATTTGTTGGTCTTCTATACTCTAAACAGCACCATCCAGAAGTGCAAAATTTAGACTTATCAAAATCTTAACGGCAATAGCAGTAACTAGAAAAGCCCTCCACGACCCCAGAGTTTCCACCTGATGTTCATCTTAAAAGAATCATCTTTGGCAAGCCAAAAGAGCTTTACATGAATCTAATGCTCAGAGGTTTGAGTGCTTCTGCTCTATCTTTTTATAATGTCTGGGCTTAATTTTTGAAAGATTTTAAATTTTTTCTTTGATTTTTAAATGTGATAGTTCATCAAGGACATTTTCCCAGGGGGGCAAGCTACCCTAATAAATGCATTTTAAAAGAAAATTAACAGTGACACTCAATCTTTGTTCACCCTACTCAGACAGATTACTCATTGAAATTTGGTTTTGGCAGTATTTTTCTAATGTTTACATAACACATCATAAATTTCAGACCATTAGATATCCTTTATATATCTACTAGAGGAAGAGTCCATAAGGATGATTGGAGAAAGAGCTGTTTTATAAACATTATAAAAATAGCCTTTTCTATGTGAAACTTGGATCTTATTATACGTGATGATATAGAGTTTGGTCACAAGAATTGTGTAAATTACTCTTAGGGGACAGTGATTTTCACTAAGATCACTTTTGATTTATATTTAGGAAATGCCTTCACCTTGACTTCTTAGGATGTATAATAGAACTGTCAGGATTTAGTAATTTGAAGGTGGAGATAGAATGCAAGAGTTGTAAAAATATATACGTATTTTTTAGTCTATTYAGTTTGGGTCATAGTGAGTTTTAAGTCTTGAAAAGAGGAATGTCTAGTTGAAAATGTGGGTAAACTGCTATTATCTCGACCTCTGTTTTCCCTAGTTAAATATATATAAGATATAATTATATTAAATATGTCTTCTGGGTATGAGATTGTGGGATCATATTAGAAAAACCAGTAGAATTAAAAGAAAATATCCTAAGTCAGGGAGAAGAGGAGGAATAGTGTAGCATCATAGAGGCTAAAAGAGGATAGTTTAAAGGCATGGGATGCTGTGGAATACATAGGAGAACAGGAGATGGAGAACGGCTGTGGGAGCCTGTGAAGCCCTGTGGTACAATACAGAACGCTGGAATTAACTTCAGCTATCCTTGATTAATCCCAATTCATTTAACTTCTCTGATTCTTCAAAAAAAAAAGTAAATAAATAAAATAGAAGTAGTGATGTTATAAATTTGTGTAATATCCAAGCATTTTCACAGCTATTTTCTGGGTTTCAGTTTTTGCATTTAAAAGGCTCAGGGGTCACTCCAGTTAAACTGGGCTAATTGAGCTGTGCAGATTGGGGTTGCTGTGATGGCTCCTCTGACCTTAAGGGTCCGAGCAGAGAGAGAAAGAGAGAGAAAGAGAGAGAGAGAGAGAGAGAGAGAGAGAGAGCATGAGCACATGCTGACCCCCTTTTATTGAGGAGAAGCTATTCAAATGAGGCAAAGGGTCAGGTTTCAGGGGGCTGAGTCTTATCTTCTTGATGTCCACTGTCAGCAGGTTGACTGACATCTGGATAGGCCACACCCAAGGGCACAGTAAGAGAAGGGGACACACGCAAGGCACTTCCATGGAAGATTCTATCCTAAACAGGGCAAGGGGTTATATTACAAAGGAACAGGTGAGCGTAGCTCCACCCATGGGGCTATAGCAAGACACACCCATGCATGAGACACTGTCCCTCAACCAAGAAGAGTGGGGAAAGCTCTGCCACATTTCTGCGACTGAGCACCTCAGCACCCAGCCAGGGAGTGTGACTCAGTCACATGCAAGGTTGGTATCCCACAGCTATTATTTTGATTTCTTAGAACCTTTGAATGTTCACAGGGATCATAGCTCTTGTCTTAAGCATAAAAGCTGAGGCCAGGAGATGTTGAATGATTTCTCTATCTCAGGGTACACAACAGGAGCCAGACTGCAGATTGCTTTGAATATTTTTTTAACCAGCACCTTTTCACAGTCTTACCTTTCTAGACTGATGCTTACAAGGTGCCCATAATATAATGACTGAGGAAATTTTCTGAAAAAAACAATGCCCTCTATAAATGCAAAATCACCAGGCTTGGTAATTAGTTGGTTATTTAACCTTGAACTTGGAATGATTTGGCTCTTGGGGGTTTCATTTCTAGGGTACCTTCCAGAATCCTCAGATATGTTAGTGATTCAAATTGTTTTATTAACAGTGGTTTTCTCACCACCATTGTGTAATTCATTTATAGCTAATAACACAAATAATGCTTTTTCTGAACAGATCAGATGTCTATTTCTCAACCTGAATCCAGGGATAACTAGCAACTTTAAATTGTACTTGTCGTAGTTAATAAAATGGAATTTCCTGTGTGCTAGTTCTTTTTCTCAGACATAGTAATAAATATCTATCACCTGCTCTATTAACTGTTAAATGTTCCTCTTTTCCCATATTTTTTTTTGGAGGGGGATGGGGGGACCAGGGGTTGATCCCAGGGGTGCTAAACCACTGAGCCATATCCCCATCCCTTTTTATTTTTTATTTTGATACAGGGTCTCACTAGGTTGCTTACAATCTCACTAGGTTGCTGAGACTGGCTTCAAACCTGTGATCTTCCTCCTCAGCCTCCTGAGCTGTGGGATTACAGTTGTGTGCCACCATGTCCAGCTTTCCATAATTTTTGTCATGATAGATATAGAGTGCTTGTTGGAAAACTTGAGCACCTGTCACATTAAATTGTTAATTTCTTTCTCTCTAGGTAGGCAATGTTGTCCCTGTCATTAAAAATAAATAAATAAATAAACATTTTCTTTTCTTGGCTTATAAAATTGCTGCTACCCGATCTATAATTTTATGTGAAAACACACAGAATCTGAGTTCTTTAATATCACGTAACTTTAAAATTCTCAATGCTGGTTGGAGTCAGGATGAGATCCCAGGTCGACTGTTCTTTCTTTCTTTTTTTTGAGAGTATATTCTAGTTAGTATCTCTCACTATACTGTTGTGCCTCTGGTATTTATATATTCCCTCTAATTTTATGTGTATGTGTGTCACACACACACACAAAAAGGACTTTAAGGAGCAGCTAAACTCAGGACTTTAACCTCTTTTAGATGGATGTGTTTTACTGTTTTAGAAAAACAATTACCTGTGATTTTATTCTGATCCTTTGGCCCATAGTTAGGAATTTAGGCTTATTGCATTGTTGCCAAAGTATTAGCAGCTCTTTCCAGATTTACATTGAGTGTGTGTGTGGTCATTGAACTTTTGCATCTTAACCCTTGAAAATTCATGGGTTAAATGTTTGTTTCCAGGTAAAGAGACATTTAATTAAGAGCCAATTTACTTATTGCTGTTTGATACTTGAGGATGTTCACCACAAGGTGTCAATATTGTTCCTTAACTGGCATTTGAGATTTTATTTGTTTTACAATTTTAGGTGGAAAAAAGTAGGGGATTTCAATGGAATATAAAGCAGTGTTATACTGTACTATAAAATGAGCATTTTTTGCAGAAGTTGATTTTAAAAAATATCACTTTTCCTTCTAGTTTGAGGAATGTAGGCTTATTAGATAATGTCATTCTCCCCCCCCCCCCCCCCCCCCCGCCCGCCCCATCTTATTGTTGATAGTGAGCTTCTGAAACACTGAAGAGAGCTGGAGAGGCATGATGGTTGCAATCTAGAATCCAAATAATGGTGGCAGTTAGGCCAGACTGAGGGGTGAGAGTGTTGTCACTAATTATATCTGTTTTCTGGGATTTAAAGAGAATTTTTGGTGTTACTTTTTTTTTTGTTTTGTTTTTCCTTTTATACTTTCTAAAAGAAGTAGCTCTATTGTAGTGAGACAGGTAATGATTGTCCTGATTTTCTCCTAGTACAGTTATTATTGGTTTCTTTCCTTCTCCTTTTGAAAAGTCTTGCTTTTACCAGTTTAATAAGTAGAAGTATGAAGGGAAAGTCAAGGGCTGTGGTCCTTCCACCTAGGTTCTAATTCTGAACCTGCCATGTACAAGTGGACTGGATGCAAGGCTTGGGATAAGTTACTTAACAGGTATGCCTCAGCCTGCTCTTTTAAAATACTATTTATCTCATAGTATTGAGAATATTATGAAAATTAAATAAGGTAAAATATTTGAAATCTCCTAGGACAGTTAATAGCATATACTAGATACTCAATGAATAATAGTTTTCTTCTGTCCCTTTATTTTTCTCATCTTGGAATTAGCTTTCTCCTTTAATCCAGTGTTCCTTTTTCTTGTTACCACTAGCTTTTTAGTTTTTCAGCATAATTTCCCTTTGTCTTCTTGCCATTCTATGTTTACTGCCTCTGCTTTCAAGTTACCTGTATTAATCCTAAATAGTCATAATAAAAGATGTTTTAACAAGTGAAAAGATGTTTAAGATGTGAAAGCTAGAAAGCTTCTAGAAGTATGGAATTGTTCCATGGGGTTGTATTGTCTCCTCTCTTCTGTCTGATTGGCACCTCTTGATTAATTGTTGTGGTTCTTTAGGACTTTTCTGCATTATGCTTTCTCCCTGGTACTCTCTTCTGTGGCCACAGCTTCAGTCAGCATATCCAATTGTTAGAAACTCTCAAATCTATATCTCTAGATATAGATTTGGATTTTCAGTATGTGTTTTCCAGTGATCTTTGAGCATTTAACATTTATGTCTTCGAGGAATCTCAACCCTGATGTGGCCAGAGCCACACTCTTAAGTTTAATCCACCTCTTCCTTTTCTGTTCTCTGA